GAAATGTAAGAGTAAATGGAATGCGGTCAATGTTTTCCTTCTCAGCCGTCTGTAGTGCTGACTGTCGATCGATTTGTTGGGCACGGTGGTGGCCCACTTGAACGACAGAAACAGGATAGCCACGTTTATCGAAAAACTAGCACATTGTCTCTGATTTTTCGGAAAAATCAGAGTCGTCACTACATAAACGACGAAGTCTGAGAAACTGTGAAAAAGGTATGGAGTTCTTGACGTGTGATGGATACGAAGATGAATACAACAAGTAACTATGTGAATCTGTAGGTTTGTAGTAAACACTAGTAAGTAAGCCGTTGCCTTCAATTGAAATTTTGATGTCTAGAAAAGCCAAAGAAGTGTCGGAAATTTCCCAGGTATATTTAAGAGCCGGCTGAAAGGAATTGACGGCGGTTATAAATTGAGTGAGCTCCTCTTTGGTAGAGGAGGTAGCACTGATGCAATCGTCAATGTAGCGGCTGTAGAGTTCAGGTTTTGGGCCGTGGTATTGGCTAAAAATTGATATTCGATAAAACCTACAAAAAGATTGGCGTAGCTGGGTCCCATTTTAGTACCCATGGCCACGCCATTAGTTTGTTTGTAGTAGTTACCCCCGAATGAAAAGCAATTGAGTGTGAGCACTAGTTCGGCCAGACGGAGTAGTGTTTCAGAGCTAGGTTCCTTAAGAGTGCGTTGATCGAAAAAATGTTTGAGGGCCCGGAGACCTTCGTCATTGGGAATGACAGTTTAAAGAGATGTTATTTCCATGGTGAAAATAAGTTTGTTTTGGTCGAGGAAACTAAAGTCACGAAAAATTTCAAGTGCGTGTTGGCTGTTCTTAATGTAAGACGGTAAAGTTTTGACGATAGGCGCCATAATGTTGTCTAAATAGCTGGGTGGGAAACTGCAGGCAGAAACGATGGGTCGACCTGGGTTGTTAGGTTTGTGAATTTTAGGTAAAAAGTAAATACACGAAGTTCTAGGAGTGGTTATGATGAGATTTTTAGCAGTGGCCGGCAATTCTTGTTTAGCTAGAAGATCGTTAATCGTATTTTTGACAATGTTTTGGTTAATAAAAGTGAGATCTTTGTCGACTTTAGCATGAAAGGAGGTGTCAGAAAGTTGCCGCAAAGCTTCTTTTTGGTAGAGGTCGGCCCGCCAAACAACAACTGCGCCGCCTTTGTCGGCCGCCTTAATGACTATGTCTTTGCGTTTTTTAGACTTTTTAGTGCCGACCACTCTTCCGAAGAAAGATTGGAAAATTTGGTGTCACGATTGAATTTAAGTTTGTTCATATCGTGAAGACATTTTTTGAGGAAAAAATCTAAAGATGAGAACTGGCCTTCTGGGGGAGTCCATTAAGACTTTCGAATCTGGAGTGTTTCGAAAGTATCTTTGTTCGAGATGTTAGAATCATCCTCTTTGTCATGAAAAGAGGCTTTTAACTGAACGCGGCAAAGGAATTTTTCAACGTCTTGCTTAACTGAAAATTCGTCGTTTTTTTGGATATGGGAACAAAATTTAAGCCCTTGCTGAGAACTGATTTTTCTGAATCGGAAAGTAGTAAATTTTCTGGAATGGTAACTACAGTTTTGAGGTTTTCAGGCGATGAGTCGTAAGTAATTTGGCCCTCCTTACATCTAGGCAGTTCGGAAAGCCGTAAAACACTAGAACAAAAATTTTATCTTCCAAATCGGCACCCTTAATCCCCACGGAATCAATGAGCGCTTTTCATTTAACTAATTTATTCCTGTTTTCTCGTCACCATATTCCCACCAATGGCGTAGCTCCACTTTCCACATATAAACCCACACACAACCCACAATTCCTCCAATCGCTCTGAAGAAGGGCTAACGCTCGAAACGTCAGCTTTTTACTCTTTTACAGTGGCTAATTTACGTTTTCAACCCAGTTGTTAACACTAAATTACCTGCTATACTCTCTCACCTATGCAGCACCACAGTTTCTTTAGAAACTTACCCCTTTATTTATGGAAGGGTTTAGTTCGGAATACCTAATTTTATCCTATAACTTGGTGCAGACTGGTAAATTTCAACTGGAAAGTATTCCTAAAACACTGCAATGAAAATAATGCCTACATGGAAACCATCTAAAGTCTCCATCACTGATGTTCTTCTTTGCTTTCCCTTGCGTATAGGAAGTACATCCACGCTCAGAAACAACAGGATCCACAGTGGAAAACAGGTAGAACTCGTCCACATTAGCTACGTACATTAACAGATTATAGTTTCCCGATGGTAATGCCATTAAATGTTTAAAAGACAACTTCATTAAAAATTGTTATTGTTTAGGATTTGCTTAATCTTGCTCTGAACAATTGAAATCAACATAAATAAGAGTTCTTTTCGAATTTTTTAAATTAGATGAAACTGATATTAAATCTAAATGAATAGAAAGAATACTTGTCTTGATGAACTCCCTTGGGAGCTTATGCACTATCTCTATGTTTTAGCTTGCAGCTGAGCGTACCTAAACTGGACATAACAAGCAAACAATTCTGTGAAACGCTAACACTCTGCACCTTAAATAACCAAAGGACACGAAGAGACAAAATTCAGCCATAACCGTCAGAAATTGACGCACATCCTAGGACTGGGGACAAACAACTGCACTTGAGGGTAAAGCACAAAGCTAAATCGAGTTTAACCGGTTTGGTCGGTTTGAAATTGTAAAACACGTCCCAAGTTTTAAACTAAGTAAACATAAAAAAGTGCACCGTAATTGTTAAATGAAAGGCTTATCTTAAATTAAAAAACTATCAAATTAACTTGCCTACATTATCCTCTAAACTAATTTTATTTCTATTCGTTTATCAAACATGTATCGTTTGACTGACCTTATTATGATGGCTTCATAAATTTTAAACTTAGTTTCAATTTTAAAAAAATTGCTGAAGCTTGTTACAATCAAGTTACGTCATTTAAAATGAAACGTGAATTCTTAAATGTCCCGTAAATATTTTTAAAAGGCAAAGTGTTTAAAAGCAAACTTTTAAATCTTATTTTTGAGAAATTTATTCACTTTAAGCTTTTCCCCATTGTTGATGAACTCAGTTCTATATAAATTTATAATGCCAGTGTCACTAAGGTGATAAACTTGTCTTCGTCAAGTGTCCAGTCTGCCTTTTCAGCCGATGTATTACGTTCTGCGCCATTTCTTTTGATTGTTACTGTCGCTAACTTATTCGAAATAAACTGCTCCTCTGAAGTAGGTTGGGGTACCTTACCTTAAAGAAAGGATGAGCACATACTTGTTTGCAAAATCAAAATAAAACTATGCGAGTGTGGACGCTGACAAAACTGCGAGCAACCCAAACTATTGTTGCCTTTTTGCGTGTTGTGAAGTGTATAGGCTACGATTCTCCATATATTAGTAAAGCGTCAAAACGTTATGGAAGGAAACCTTAGGCGAGTTTGTTAATGAAGGAGCATGCAGTGAGACAGCTGACATGGCTCTTCAGTGGGGAGGAACGGCGGAAACGGAGAAATGTGAGGAGACAGGGATTCTCCTCCTTCCCCCCCCCCCTCTGTTCCTCAGTTATTTGTCCCACTCATACTTGGGAGCTTGACTTCGGGCAAAGCTCAATGAAGCAAGCTTCAAACGGCCTCACACCCCTGTGTGGCGCTTAAATCAACTGAGCCTTTAGACCAACTGCGAGATAAACCAGCTCTCACTTCGAACGAGCTTTCTATTTTACTAACTTCGTGTACTTATCATGAAATGTCTTGTGTACTTTCCTTGCTGTAGATCGGGCAGCAATCCCTGTATCAGAAGAAATAAGATTTGGGGAAGACAGAGTGGTGGCGTTCTGGCCTACAACGGAGGTAGAGTATTTACAAAAGTAACACACTATGCCTTGGCTCTTAGCAATTCATATCGCCGTCCTCTATTTGTTTATTTATTACGCCTTAAATCAGAAACAAACCAAGAAAGAAAACTACTTCGCTTCAGTCGTTTGATTTCTTTCTTTATTCAAGGTCTTGGTCCGGAACGTGCCGTGTAGAGTTAGGGATTCATTGGGGCTGGAATTGTGTACTCTTAAACCCTTTCGACATACCACGGCTAATTTAACCTTTTATATCTTAATTATTTCTCCCTCTTATGAGCAACACATTTCTTTGTAAATTTAGTGGTAGAAATGAAACTTTCAAGCTGCTCCGTTTTTCTATTCTCCTATCTTTGTGCTGGACAATATGTTGTTCCAAGGACAAGTTAGTTTCGAGTCACTCCAGGAAAATGAACGAGTTAATCATTGTTGAAGAGAATACCTGACCTGGGGACCGTTTCTCAAAAGTCCCGATAACTTAACGGCCCAGGAGCCATATTCTAAAATCAAAAGTTATTGAAATTGGAAGCAGGCTCTGGTAACCTGACCAGTCCATTTTGTTTCTTTGGCTGCTCGTTTTCTTGTATAATTCTCACAACTTTTCGAAACCTCCATTTTGAATATAAAAACAGAACAGCTTTACGGGCCCGTTGGTTTAGTAGGGAGTTTAAGAAACGACGGCGGCGACGCCGTGAACAAAGTCGGTTAAAAAATGAACTTATATTTTGCCTGCGAATCTCGCGATACTATGAAGTCATTTGGTTTGTCAAAACTATTTCGAAACTGAATATGGAACACAGCGTTACATTAGAAATAGCAATTTAAAAAATTAGTCGTCGTCGTTCACGTTCTCAAGGCAACGCCAAGTTTGGTCTTTTCACGTTGATGTTTCGCAGAGGACTCAAAGAAATGTACAAAGATTTATAAAGCACGTGCACAGCCATTGTTCTGCTCATTAAACTTTTTTGTTAGGGACGTTGCTTTGGGCAGCCGTCACCACCAAAAATACAAGGATGTCAAATAGATCAGCAAATACAAAGCTGGTTTAAGGATGAGCTGCAGGATAGAATAGCTAATAAAGTAATGGCATGGCCAAATTCTAGACGGTTTAGTTTTCCTTCATGAAACAGAACACCCTAAACATGAATAGTTTAGCCAAATGATAAACGGTCTAGTTGCCTATGTCGAGTTGGAACATGAAATTGTGAAATGGACTGGCTCGATTACGAATAGCTTAGCACTCATTTGTAATACAGTACACAAACGGTGTAGCGTTACGTCAAATGGCACAGGGTAATGTCGAGTAGCACAGCGTACGCACAAACGGTGTAGCTTTGCGTGAAATAGCTCGGCGTAATGTCGAATGGCACAGCGTACATACAAACAATGTAGCGTTGCGTGGAATGGCTCAGCGTTATGTCGGATGGTACAGCGTGCACACAAATGGTGTAGAGTTGCGTGAAATAGCTCAGCGTAATGTAGAATGGTACAGCGTACATACAAATGGGGTAGCGTTATGTCGAATAACTTTGTAGAACATCAGACGCTCTATCTGAACATTAAATTGCTTAGCATTACACGAAATATTTCGATGTTGTGGCGAATCGTCGAGCTTGCTCGTGGCGTGACGTGTCTCGCCGAAACCACCAAAAATACAAACCGCAAATGGAACAGTGATCTGCTGGGGGCATGACGTCATCGAATGTGAAGACTGTCGCGAAATCATCAGATGGTGTAGTCGCTGTGTTGAAGGGTCTTCACTTCGCCTTGCCGTAAAGCAGAACCAATTCAGTGAGTTTCTCCTTTTTTCCCTCGCCGATATTGCATTTATTCGTTGTCGTTCGTGAAAGCGTTAATTAAAATAGCAACGAGACTGGATTCTTTTACGGTTTGCCGGCCTCCCGGTCTACCACAGTTTGCATGCGTTGGTGAGCCTGAATGTTGATAGTATTAAGTAGTGAATGAAAGTGATCCTCGCAGTAATGTGCACTACTTAGGCAGTAGTGAAAAAAAGGCCTGAAAAAATTCAGGCCTGTACGGGATTTGAACCCATGACCTCTGTGATACCGGTGCAGCGCTGTACCAACTGAGCTAACAAGCCAACTGGGAGCTGGTCATGATGTTGGTATGGTTACTACTGCTTAAGTAGTGCACATTACTGCGAGGATCACTTTCATTCACGTCTTTATCCGCAGTTCAAATATATGACTTTCATATATTCTTAACCAGTATTAAGTAGTGTTAAGACGTGCATTAAATGTTGATTGCCGAACTCTCTTTTCTTTTCTGACTCGCGCTTTCTTTTCAATGAGAGTTTAACTGCAAAGGCTCTTTGAAAATTGCAGGAATACGTGAGAAGTTGGATTTTGTGTGTGCCTTGGACGCCATGGTAAGTAAAACTGATATCCTTGATCTGTTTTGACATTTTTCAATCAAACATGTGGTGTTGGCCAAAGCAACCTTTTTTCCGAGTTGGTTTTATCGTCCGGCACACCAATTAAAGCATTCCGATATCACTCAGTTTGATTGAAAAATGTCAAAACATATCAAGGATATCAGTTTTCTTACCATGGCGTCCAGGGCACACACAAAAATTCAACTTCACGTACTCCTCCAATGTTCAAAAAGGCTTTAAAGTCGAACTCTCGTTGGAAAGTAAGCGTGAGTCAGAGAAAGAAAAGAGAGCTCGACAATCAACATTTAATGCACGTCATAACACTACTTAATATTACAAACATATTCAGGCCCACAAACGCGGGTAAACCGGGAGGCCGGCAACCGTGTTAGAATTCAGTCTCGTTGCTATTTTAATTGATGCTTTCATGAATGACAACGAATAAATGCAATATCGGCAGGGAAAAAAAGGAGAAACTTACCGAATTGGCTCTGCTTTACGGCAAAGCGAAGTGAAGACTATTCAATGCAGTAACTACGCCATGTGATGGTTTCGCGCCAGTCTTCACATTCGATGACGTCATGCCCCCAGCAGATCGCTGTTCCATTTGCGGTTTGTATTTTTGGTGGTTTCGGCGAGATAGCCTTGGCGGCCGTCACCACCAAAAATACAAGGATGTCAAATAGATCAGCACATACAAAGATGGCTTAAGGATCAGCTGCAGAAAAGTATAGCTAATAAAGGAATGGCATGGCCTTCACGTCACGCCACAAGCAAGCTCGACGATTCGCCACAACATCGAAATATTTCAAGTAATACAAAGCAATATAATGTTCAGATATAGCGTCTGATATTCTGTAAAGCTATTCGACCTAACGCTACACTATTTGTGTGTACGCTGTACTATTCGACATTACGCTAAGCCATTTGACGCAACTCTACACCATTTGTGTGTACGCTGTACCATTCGACATTACGCTGAGCCATTCATTTGACGCAACGCTACACTGTTTCTATGTACGCTGTACTATTCTACATTACGCTTAGCTATTTCGCGCAACTCTACACCATTTGTGTGCACGCTGTACCATTCGACATTACGCTGTACTATTCGTCATTACGCTGAGCCATTTCACGCCACACTACATCGTTGGTACCTACGCTGTATCATTCGACATTACGCTGAACCATTTCACGCAACGCTACACCAAATGTGTGTACGCTGTAACATTCTACACTATGCCGAGCCATTTCACGAAACGCTACATTGTTTGTGCGTACGCTATGCTACTCGACCTTACCCCGAGCCATTTGACGCAACGCAACACCGTTTGTGTACTGTATTGCAAATGAGTGCTAAGCTATTCGCAATTGAGCTAGTCCATTCTACAATTTCATTTTCCAACTCGACATGGGCAACTACACCGTTTATCATTTGGCTGAACTATCCATGTTTAGGGTGTTCTGTTTCACGAAGGAAAACTAAACCGTCTATAATTTGGCCATGCCATTCCTTCATAAGCTATGCTATGCTGCAGCCGATCCTTAGACCAGCTTTTTATTTGCTGATCTATTTGACATCCTTGTATTTTTGGTGGTGATGGCCGCCCATACGTTACCGTTACCGTAGTGGTTTTCTTAAACTCCCTAATCGGACCTTCGAGAAATAGGCCCCAGGAAGACCGCCATCTCGTGTCTACGAACAGTTGATGTAACTCGCTGTCACTGATCTACTATTATATTCCTTTTTAGGTGTTTAAGAAAATAATGACATCTTTAGAAATGCATTGACAGGTAAGCCTCGTAATTTTGGATTGAATAACAGTTTATCCCCTGGCATAGCTCAGTCATCTTTACTCCCACGACAGAAATTTGAATATTATCTTTCGAACTTACTTAAAACAATAATTATTTTTCTGATATCGTGGTTGATCTGTTAGGGTTCTTGTCAATTAAATGTCTTAAAGCAAAGCCAAAGTGTTGAAAACGACCAATCAGAAAAAACGCAATGGAAGTAATGTAAAGAACCGATCAAATTTAAAAAGAACACAAGCAAACTTCTTAAAGGGCAAGGAAAAGCGGCTTTGCCAGTCGCGACTGGTGTTAGTTTTGTATTTGATAGAGTAAGAGGATGGCGGGAGTTTTGAAGACTAATGGCAGCGAAATGAAGAAAACATAATGCAGTGTTGGACTACTTACGATACTCAATTGAATATTACTCTCACTCAAAATCTTTGATGAACCGTTTACAATAAGTCAGTCAGTACTTTTAGTAAACAATGTAATGATCCTGTGCACTTCTCTGTTGTTCAGGTGTGCTTATCAGTACAGCAAGTTTTCCTGTGCTGAAAAGCAACCGCATTTTTGATGGTGGTGCCGCGGGAATTGAGATAACAAACAGTGCTGGTGAGCAACATAACTCCTTCACTATCATCACTCTTTATTGAATGATCTTTAGAAAATCTCACCTCCCTTTGCTCCACCCATGAATTTTTGTTATCACTTTTGTTTCTCTAGATCTCTGCACTTCAGAAATTGAAAAAGAATTTACTCTTGGCAATGAAATTCATCTTGAATTTGCAAATCATCAAAAATATTCCTTTTGACAGAGTAACAATATATAGTTTCATCAGCAACCTTAAAAATGGCCTCTTCTTACTGTCATCGATTCTCTAATTGACCCGAAATGAATCAATTCCTGCTTGTTTAATCTCCTGATTATAGACTGAAAAAAATCATATCATCCCTATTTTTTTCAGGAGGAGTTCTCGAAGAAAACGACGTCTTCAATAACCGGTTTGACGGGATCTTTCTGGCCACTGGTGTCGAGCCCAAACTTAGCAGTGAGTATAATGTTTGACTTACTCCTACCCTACCCGTTTATCACTGTTACATTCTCTGGCGCTAATAATTACTACTCTCCCCTCCCTCAGATAACAAAGTACACGGTAACAGAAGCGAAGTTGAGCAAGCCATAGAGTCTTGTCGCTGTTTGTATCAAGTGTCTGGTAACACTTGCTATCCGATGCACGATTTTTACAGGTGAGCATACTCAAAGGTGTTAAGCATGTGACTTTTCCTATCACCATCAATACATTATCCAGAAAACATATGATAAGATAGACAGACGTTTAAGGCGTAAGGTGTAATCTTGACAAAAAAGCAAATTCTCGTTTAAGAGATCAACAACAAAATGCATAAGCGAAAATTACTTCATGGGTTGGAGGGCTATTTTTATTTATTGACTGATTTATTTTATGTTCCCTTTTCTATCCAATCTAAGCTGAGTTCAGAATATGTTACTCACCGTCCCCATCGTTTTACCTCTCAATCTTTTTGTTTTTCTTCTGGATAGTGACTCAGTCAGCAACTTAGTCCAGCGGTCTTTCAGACAATAAAGATTCCGTATTTAGTATAAATTTAGTCTATTACGTAGTTAGTAAACGGTCATAAGCATTCCAAATCTATTTGACTTCACTGAGCTCTGTTACTTAGTCAGCATAGTATTGGGTGAACACAATCTCCAATGACGTTGCACGGTCAGTTGCTGAGGTCTCTTGTTAGAGATGCAGTGCTGTCGATTACATATTTTACCTTTGACTGGTTTCTTAATCAGCCATCACTGCTTCCCTTATAATGACGTATCTCTTAATGTATTTATACTGACACGTAGGTGCACCACTTGTGGTACGTCGGATGGCTACGCTATTTGCGTCACGAGAGACATGACGTGAAGTTTGTCAGACGTGACAGGTACAGTGTTACAACGCTTTAACCATTAGTTATATACATGACAGGCTGATTTAATAGATAAGAACATCAGTAACACACCCGGCTGCACATTGTGTCGTCTGTGATCTATTACTGAACAAAAGCACAGCAACGCGAAAACTTTTTTGTTGTAAATTTGGATTTTGAAACTGTTATGCGGTGCTCAAATCAAAGTCAGTTCTCCTTTGCTTCTTGCTTGATAAGTTGTAGGTTGAAGAGACTGAAGCTTCATAGGTTTTGCTAAAGAAAAAAAGGCCCTTTTAGACTGCATAACACTTTAAAAATAGATGCCATGTTGGCGTGCATCTGTTTAGTTGTAGATCACAGGTGATACCAAAATATGATCAGATATTCCAGTTACATTCGGAC